GCCTGTTCCTCTTTGAAGCACATTCTTCCCCAATTTCAGCATATCGACGAGGTCGGAGAAAGATAAGTAGGACAAAACCGAGGTGGGACAGCACTTTTGGGGATTTTGGGAAAATTACCAGGTCGGAGAAAAGTAGGCCGGACAATCTAGCTGCACCGACCCAAACATCACCTCACCCTCACCTTGTACTCGAAGCCCGTCTCCAGCCCGTGCCTCCTGCTGTAGCAGTGGCGCGCGAGGGACCACAGCGCCCAGTACATGTGGCTGAGCGCGCCCATGAGGTGGATGTCCTGGGCCAGCTTGTTGGCCTCGTGCTCCAGGTTGTGGTAGGGCGTGCCAGCGCCCATCAGGTAGCCGTAGATGAACTGGCGCTGGCGGCCCGGGTCCGGGTAGCGGTTGGCGTCGTAGTCGAAGAGCGGCCGGATGTTGGTGTTGTAGTCGAACATCCACTCGTTGAAGTGGTTCGCGATGTCGTACGGCTGGCGACACAGGCACGCGTGTTTTGATCATTGTTTTGTTTCTACCTGAACGTGTCGCACACAGATCGCGTCAATTCCAAGAGGGCCACTCACCTGGTAGTTGTAGGAGGCGTGCTGGTAGTCGGCAAACAAGATCGGCCCGCGCTCCTCGACGGGGATGGCCTTGCGGGACTCGGGCTCGAGCGGAAACAGGCGGTCGCACCTAATCGACAAATAGATTGAAACGTTAGCGACGCGATGTTGAACGGCGTCAAAAATATTGTCAAAACGACATAAAAAACGTTTTTGAACCATTAATAGAAACCGTATCTAAACAATAACATTTCTGAAACAGTGAAAAAACAATAACTTTATTGAAACGGCATTAAAACGACAACGTGATGTAAGGTATTGAAACGATACTTTATTGAAGGGTATCGAAACGATAACGTGTCGACATGCCATGGACTCACGTGGCGCAGCGCCCGCGCGGGCCCGGGCCGACCTTGGCGGGCCCGCGCTGCGGGCAGGTGTGTTGGGCGTTGGCCATGCCCTCGACGGTCTCGGCGGCGCCGTGGGCGCCGTGGGCCGGGCGCGCGGAGCCCCGCACCGTCCGCTCCAGGCGACGCACCGCCTCCCGGCGCGCCGCGGCCGCCTCCGCCTCCGTCGGCGGCGCCGCCCTGCTGCACGGCTGCTCCTCCGCCGCCCAGGGCGCGAACAGGATGTTGCCGGCGTGCAGGTCGTTGTGGCTAAAGACCACCTTCATGGTCCTCATGGTCACCATGTTCCTGTCACGTCACGAGGTCACAGCCGAGTTAGTTAATTGGGGAAGAACAGTCAGTCGAAGTTCCCGGCGGTATTCGGCTCACCTAATCCAAATGATGTTGCTTCGCATGGCGACGCGGGTCAAGTCGATGGCGGTGGAGGGGTACTCCAACTGCATCTGCCGCAGCTCATCGTCGTTCTCAGAAAAGTAACGCCCCACGTACTCGTTCCAACTGTCATCACGAGAAAGAGGGAAAACAGAAAGTAGTTTGCTCGACAGGTTAATCTAAATTGCCTTTTGTAAAATAAATGGCGTGTGGGAGGTATGGTTCGTTACCGGAAGAGTTTGCGCCAGATGTCGACGTCCCTGGAGAGCGGCACGGAGAGGGTGTGCAGGGCGGCCGTTCGGCGGGCGATCAGCTCGGACACGTCGTGCTGGATGGCGCGCTTGGTGGCCAGCGTCACCACCTAGGACCACCAGAGGATGTACCCGTACCCGAGACGTACCCGACGACGTCCCCGGCGACGTCCCCGGCGACGTCCCCGCGGCAACGTCTCCGGGCCCGCGTCAACCCCCGAGACTCACCGGCAGGAACTCCTCGACGCGGCCGCGGGTCCCGAGGCAGCCGTAGGGCCGCGGGCCGCGGTGGCGCTCGGGCAGCGATGAGTAGACGCACGCCTCGACGGCGAGCAGGTGCAGGGGCGAGGCGTCGGCCGCCATGGACAGGCGCAGCATGACGCGCCGGGGCTCGTTGGCGTGCGGCTGCACGCGCCTTGACAGTCGCACGTAGTACAGCGCCGAGCTGTGTCCGGCACTGGCTCCGCGGGAGGCACGGAATGTGGCTTATTCGCGACGTCACTTTTCGTATATCATAATATATATGGTTGGCTTGTTGCCCTTACCTGAGGCGTAGGATGCGCAGCTGGTTGTCCGGGACCGCGCCCCAGACCCCGCCCAGCAGCCGGCTTAGCTGCGTCCTCAGGTCCGCGGGGAAGTTCTCGGTCTTCACAGCGATGCTCCGGTGGTCCCGAAAGAGGTCCTCGTGCTCGTCCTCCGAGTCCCAGTCCCCGGCTTCTTCGACAGCGGTCCGCACGGTCTCTTTTGCGACGGCCTCCTCGGCGGTGGCCTCTTCGGCGGTGGCCTCCTCGGCGGTGGCCTCCTCGGCGATCCTCTGTTCGACCTCCTGCACCCACTTGTCCCAGAACTCGACCATGGGCTGCTTCGCCTGTTTGCGTTCTTGTTGTTTGGAATCCTCGCCTCCCTCCTTGTCCTCCTTGCCGTCCTCATCCCCCTTGACCCGCACGCCCTCCAGGTCACCGTCTGGGTCCTCATCCGAGCTCTCGACCTCCCAGATCACGTTGAGTGGCCGACTTGCCATGTCTACCTCGTCTTCGCTCTCGGACTCCACCGTCGCTGTCGCCGTCGCCGCGACCTCGGCGTCGGCCACGGCCTCGGCCTCGACCTCCACCTCCCCCGTGGCCTCCGCTCGCCCGTCCACGCATCCGTCGTTGTCTCCCATCTCCTCACCTGGCGGGGGGTCAAGGAAACACTTGTCAGTCCCGTCCGCTATTTCCACCTCCTGCAGGGCCTCAGCCACCTCCGCGAGGACGTTGACCACCCCTATGTTCTCCGCGGCCTCACCCCCTTCCGCGTGCGGGAGGCCCTCGTCCTGGCTGTCACTCTCCTCGTCAGAGTCCACATCCCCAATGTCCTCGCCCTCGACCTCCAGGATGGCGTCGAGTCCGACGTCCACCAGCTCGACGACCGCCTGCTCGACCTTCTCCCCCTCCACGACCACCTGGTTCTCCCCGATGTCCTCCCTCATCCTGGCTGCTGCTACCCTGCAGAAAGCCTCCCTCTGGCCGCAGGAGCCTCGCCGTCCCCTCCCCCGTCCTGCTCCTCACCAGCACCCTCACCCACCCCCAGGTGTTCCACTATCTCTGCAGCGTGCTCGTTTATGTCATGGAAGTGGAGATCGTTGTTGTTCCCGTCCTGGTGCAGCCCGGACGCGTCCGCCTCACCTTCTTCGAGTACCTCCAGCTGCCCCTGCGCCACTAGTTCACCCGCACCTTGTGCCGCCTCCGGCTCCTCTAAGAGCTGCAGCTGCTCAATCAGCTGCCGAAGTTCCTCTTGCGCCTGGTCCTCGCGCACTCGCCCCGCCGCCTGCTGTTCCGGTGGCGGCTCTCCCTCCGGGTGCTGGGAGACCCTGGCCGACTGCTGCTCCTCCGGTTCAAGTTCTTGCGCCCCTGGCAGCGGCAGTCGAGCTCTCCCCGGCAAACCCGAAAACGAAAGTCGGAGCGGGCGGGGTTGGCGGCCGGCGTTGCGGTGGCGTTGACGGCGGTCAGCAGGGACGTGCGGCCGCCGCGAGGCGCCAACGGGCAGGCGCGGGCGTGGGCCGGGTGCGCGAAGACCCCCGGGGGTCAGCGAGGCGAAGGGGAAGGGCGGTATGTGCGGCCGCGCCCGCTGCACGAGCCCCTGCCAGTAGCAGAACTCGGCGTACCAGGCCTCGTCGACGGCGCGCAGGTGCTGCAGCGGCGACCACCGCGGGCTCTGGTGCTGGTGCCGGCACGGGCCGGCGCGGGTCCGCGGCGGGGCTGGGCGCTGGGCAGCGGGCGGCGCTGGCGCGGAGGTCGGGGCGGGCGGCTGCTCTGCCCAGTCCTGCTCGGGGCGGACGTAGTGCGGCCACACCAGCGGCGACCACGCCGGCTGAGGCTGCGGCTGCGGCGGCAGGAACAGCGACGCCGAGGGGGCGAGCTGCTGCTGCTGCTGCTCGGCCTGGACAGCCTCCTGCAGCGCGCGGGGGTTCTGGTGCGGGCGGCTAGTCACACTCCTGGGCGATCGGTGGGGTCGACCGCCCATCCTGCAACAGACGAGGGGAGACCACCTTGAGCCCGATACCCCCCGGGCCGATCCACCCGACACCCCGGCGCGCGGGCAACAACGAGGTCCAGGGATGGATCGAACGAGACGCCGCGCGCTGTCTCGAGTGGGCGAGGCCTGGCCTCGGCCTCGGCCTCCTCCCGCCCGACCATTAGACAAGGCCGCTCCGCAGCTCCATCTCAGGTCGGACAATAAGCAAGGATTTGCGGAACCACCGTCGGCACGCCGGGGAGTCAGCTCTACATTCCGGAGGTATATACGCGGTGCCCCCTCCTCCCCTCCTTCTTCCTCCCCGGGAAGCTCCTCTGAAGCGCGCTGAAGCCGGCGCGGGGACAGGGACAGGGGCTGTCTGGCGGGGAGGGGAAGCGGAGGGGGTGAGTTCAAGCAGCGATGTGGCAGCCGGGCTCTCCGACGATCACACAGTTGGCTCCGGGAGGAGGGGGGGG